GTGTGGCGATTACCCGTCATCGCTCTGTTTTCCTCTCCTCTGCGAAGTGCTGACGTCAGGATTCTGGCAGGTGACATTTCGTCCTGGCAGTGACTAAAAGTAAACTTCTGTCACCAGCTTTTGTTTACATTCAGATAACTGCGCTGCCTGGCCACGCCGATAACCAGCACACCGCCAATGACACATCCTGGCTGCCACACCGCGCTTCCGTAAGAAAGTGTTTCCCAATCTTCGTCCTTTACTGCTGCCTTTTTTGTGTTTTTTCTCTGTTCTCAACACACCTGACTCAACTCAACACCTTACTCAGTCCTTTCTGAGGTTAAACGAGCAGATCAGTGACAACAACAACAAAACAACACAGTCTTCCAGTTATTTAACACGTGATTGGTCAGTTTACGCTGGAGCTACGAGGCTAATGTAGCTAACAGGTAAAGGAAGCTCATATCCCACCAATTAGCATTGTGCTAGCTGAACATCTGAATGATCACCCATTTGTCTCTGACTTTGACTTGTGTCTTTGACTTGTTAAGTAATCTAAAATAGAAAACAGTGCACTTGTGACTGTGAACGCACACTTCATCTCAGTATGCTGTAGCAACCACCTGGGATAGCACAGCCATGGCCTAGTAACTCCTTAGCAACCACCTGGGATAGCACAGCCATGGCCTAGTAACTCCTTAGCAACCACCTGGGATAGCACAGCCATGGCCTGGTAACTCCTTAGTAACCACCTGGGATGATACAGCAACCATGGCCATTTAATCCTTAGCAACTACCTGGGATGATATAGCAACTGCACAGCAGCACCTTAGCAACCAGTAGGGATTCCATAGCAATATCCTAGCAACATCTTAGCAACCACCTGAGATAATAAAAACATCTTAACAACCACCTGGGATAGCACTGCAAGACCCTAGTAATTCCTTAGCAACCATCTGGGATTTCACAGCAACAGCTTAGTCAAGCCAACTTCAAGCTCGTTCATGATCTTTCCGTTTCTAGTTTTTTATTTTTATTTATTTTTTACCTTTTTGCTCAACAGGTTTCCTGTGCTGGCATGGGTTGCTGCAGCCCCCCCGGCGCCCCTACTAACCGTGGCTACGCTGTCATCACCGACTCTTTTACACCTTTCACAGGACACCATGTTCATCATGAGCTCTCAATACCCTACATATACAACAGTTACTGTAACAGCTATGTAGATCAGAGCTGTTTAGAAGTGCTACATAATATGGACGTTACAGACCACCGTGGCACTCTGGCCTGTGGACAGTGTGGTGAGCACAGCAGTTCAGATATCATATGAGCTTTGAAGCGTCTCTCTCTGGAAATGAATGGCAAAAACTATTCCTAGATCATCACCTATGTGTCACAAGAGCCATGACTATTCTCATTAGAGGCGTTGAGGTCAGAATTAATTTGGGAAGCCATTTGAAAAAGAGGGTCAAACCTAAAACCCTGAGCTGAAGAACCCAGACGTCCAGCGATTTAAGATACAACTGGTCAGTCGAGGTATGTTTGCTGTGTTAAGTTTCCTTCTAGGTTTACACTGGAGCTACGAGGCTAATGTAGCTAACAGGTAAAGGAAGCTCATATTCCACCAATTAGCATTGTGCTAGCTGAACGTCTGAATGATCACACGTCTGTGTCGAGGTGTTGAGCAAGTCTGATTGAGGTTATGCAGTTTGACACTGTATAAAATGGGCCTTGGGTGGCCGTCAGTGCTCTTGAGGGGGGGCTGCTCAAAGACAGCCCATTCGTGGGTAAACACTGCTACAGAAGCAGCTGATATTGCATGCCAAGCTATGCAGTGTGTGCCCCTGTTCATTTGTAACTATAGAGGATTTTTTATATTTGTTAATATGGAACAAAATATTCTTGGGCAGCTGTTAATATACTCTGATGTCTATTTGACATAAACAGCACCGCCGCAGTTCTAAAGCAGCAAACTTACAAACCTGATCGACTTCTCCAGAAATAGGATCAGGAAAACACTGTTCAAGTGAAGAGGATGTATCTCTGTCTGTCTGTCTCTCTCTCTCCCTCCCTCCCTCTCTCTGCAAACACTCCCGTGTCAACACACCTGGTCGGTAAAGTCACCACAGACCAGGATGCACGTCGCCAGGTAAACACGGGCGCTGCTATAAAACTCAACGGCCTCTTTTGTCTTGAAAACACATTTGGCTAAGAACACATTTCCTTATATAAGGCAAGAAGTCTAGCTGTATGCTTGAAGCACAATCTGTGGGCAGACGGTATGTTTAAAAAGAAAAGGGGAGACTTTTCTCCAAGTTTCTATTTTCTGGACATCTTCAAAGCCCAATACTAGAACTTTAACCAAAATTTAAATGTGAGGTGTAGGCTATGGTAATGTTTCCCACCTCCAGGCCTGTAGACCACCAACAATGCAGTTCCGTGTTCGCTCCAAATCACCTGATACAGCCCATGAAGGACTTGACCATTAATGATGTGACAGTTTTACACTGTGCAGCTGGACTACAGGGCTGAGGATGGGGCAAGCTGAGCCATTAGGCCGAGTGGTCAGGTCTGGTTTTGAGTTTGACTGGCTACGCTAAATCCATCCATCCATTCCAAAGTTGGCCAAAGTTTTCCACAGATGTTTGATTTGACCTGCCATGTAAATTAAACCCCAACCCCTCACCCAAAGAGACAGCAAACCCTTTTTAATTGTATTTAAGTATTACATCTTTATTTGAAACCTGCCTACTTTGTTTATTTGTGTATTGTTTTGTCCTTTTGGGCCTCGGCCCACCACAAACGTTGCACTTTGGTTTGTCCCCTCAATGACAAAACATTTGGGCACCCCTGACCAATTTAATCTTCTCAGAAGCACTGATTAACTGACCAGCTGTGATTCTGTGTTGGAACCCTAATGGACCAAAAGTGTATTAATCTGATGGCTTATGAATCAAAGCTTAGTTTGAACCCTATTCCCCAAAATTAAGGTAACATTAGGGCAAAATAGCCTTGGCCCATTGGTCAGCAAGCTCCTGCTTTGAGTTCAACCCCAACCCTAGACTAACACAGGTGGAGGAGGTAACCTGATCCAACAGGTCTGAATTCTGTTTTGATTTTTGATGCTGTATTGCCAATGTTACACCCTTAGTGACCGCTGATCTGGCCTACTGTGAAGCCTGAGCCTGACGCAGAACCTCTGTGGCACACGATCATGTAGTTGTTGCACGTTCCAGAATATTTGTACATGTTAGTCTTCAAAAAATGGGCTTAAACTGAACTCTACAAGTAGGTGGTTCTCCAGAAGGCAGCTTAGTGATTTCTAGGTGACCATCATCTTCCTGTAAGATCAAGTCCATCTCATATTTAACACATCTAATCCAACCAATCAAGGTCTTAAATGACTGGACAGATGGATCAGGCGAGCTCTGCCATAAAGGTCGATCTCCAGGATAAGGATTAGTGAACACTAGTCCATTCATTCACCTTAGTTTTAGGGATTATGCTTTGCACTCTGCAAGTAGGTGAAAAAAATCTGGTAGGACCAGTTTCCTGGACGTAGATTAAGTCCAAGCCTAGACTAAAAAAGGATTTTCAAAAGGTGATTCACCACTGACACTGCAATTTCATTCGAGACTCAATCCATGTCCAGGAACGTCAGAATATGCTCTGTTGAATATATCATGGGTATCGCTTCAACAGCACTGAACACCTGGATGTACCATAAAAAAGTCTGATTTAGACCAATTATAGTGAGAATATAAACAACACCCAACAGCAAAAACTACATAGTAACAAGGAGCCGAGTGGATGTTAATCAATTATATCATTATTTATTCATTTATATTGACCAATTGTCTGATTTTTACAGCCCCTAAGGCAACACGGTGATTCTTTTTAATAAGGTGTGGCCTTGAGTTAACATACTGAGGCCAAGGGTTAGGTTTCTCATGGCCAGGTGGCCCCAATATATTAACATGCAGCCTCAATATATTAATTATATTAATTTGGCACCAAAGATTTCTGCTTGGGTTCTTTCTTAAAAATCTTATTTTGGTGACCACTGAGCCCACGCTACACTCTGACACACTATAACCCCCAGTCATCTGGGAGATTAGAACTGAAACTCTACAAAGTTGGTGGACTTCCAGAGGGAGGTTTGGTGACCACAGAGCTCATGCTCTACTCATTCACTAACTGGAATATGGTTCACATTGATCTCTACAGGTTGGTGGATCCCCAGTGTCTGGTGACCACCGATCAATACTATACTCATTGCATTTCATGCAATATACTCAGCTATACTGGTTGGTGGATTTCTGTGTTTGGTGACCACAGACCCAATGCTGTACTCATTCATTTCATGCATATGGTATATAATAAGCTGTACTTGTTGGTGGATCTCAAGCAGGAGGTTTGGTGACCAGAGAGCCCATTCTACACTCATTAATCTCAGTGATTAGTGTAAAGATTGAACTCTACAGGTTGGTAAAGCTACAGGAGGAGGTCTGGGACCAAAGTCCAAGCCATACTCAGGTGAAGCTACAGCAGGCGGTTTGGTGACCACAAAGCCCACGCTATACTCACTGATTTCAAATATGGTTCATATTGGTTGCTGGATCTCCAGGTGGAGGTTTGGTGACAACTGAGCACATGGAATGCTTATTAATCATGGTGATTAGGGTAGCTGGAGATTGAACTCTACAGGTTGGTGAAGCTACAGGAGAAGGTTTGGTGACCACCAAGTCTGAGCCATACTCATTTTAGGAAACAGGCTTCATACTGAGCTCTACAGGTTGGTGGAAGCTACAGGTGGAGGTTTAGAGACCACCAAGCCCAAGATATACTCATTAATCTCAGTGATTAGGGTAAAGCCTGAACTCTACAGGTAGGTGAAGCCACAGGTGGAGGTTTGGAGATCACCAAGCCCATGCTATTAATTTTGAGAACAGGCTTCATGCTGAACTCTACAGGTTGCTGGATGTCCTGGACTCCAGGAGGAGGTCTGTTTGGTGACTACTCACCTTAATCTTATGCAGGGACTTCTCTTCCTCCAAGATCTGGATCCACACGGTGATGCCCCCCTTGTTGTAGGTCAGGCTCCAGCCCCCTTCCGAGCAGCACTCACTCTTGAAGCTGCTGAACGCCCTGTCGTCCGGGATCAGCACCTCCTCCCCGGACATGGTGGCCGAATGCGGCGCGTTCCCGTCTGCTGGAGCGAGCGAGGGGCGCGCGCTCCCGAGAGAAAAGCGAGCAGCCGAGAGCGCCGGGAGCGCGCCTCAGACCGGACCCCGAGGGCGCACAGAAGCGATAAAGAAAGTTCGTGTCTAAAGGCGGCCGGACTGCGTCTGTGCGGACTCGTTTACCGTCTAATCTGCAGAACTGCGAGGAAAAAAAACGAACTTAAATGTGGTTTTTATTTCCTGAAAAGCGGCGCGAGCGGCTGGAGTCTCGTGGCGCAAAAACGAGCTTCTGCGGTGATTTTTTGCTTTTCTTTTTCCCGCCAAACGAAGTCCGTTAGAGCGGCGTGTCAGCAGCGGCTCCGCTGTCCGCGGTCAGAGCGCCGCGCCGTTCAGGTGCTGCTGATGTTGCTTTCTCTGCCCGAGCCGAGCGGCGGAGCTCCGCGGCGGGAGCTGAGCGGGTCGACGGCGGCGGTGACGCAGAAGACCGAGACAGTCGCCGTGTTCGCGGGGCGCTGAGGGGGAGAAGCGGCGCTGCTGCTGCTGCTGCTGCCGTTTGGAGGAGAACAGCGGTGAGACTCGCGCAGGCGCGCGCTCGCGTAACCAGGGAGACCATGAGTGATTGGCAGCCCGCACGGCCCCGCCCACCTCAATGCACACGTACGCGCTACAGGAAAAAGAGAGAGAGAGAATAGGAAAGAGGAAGAGATAGAATAACAGAGAAAGAAAGAGAAGGGAGAGAAAAGAAAGAGGAGGAAGCGAGAGAGAGAGAGAGAAAAGTGAGTGAGAGAGAGAAAATAAGGAAAAGAGACAGAATAACAGAAACAGACAGGAGAGATGGAGAGACAAAAACGAGAGAAAGAGAGAGAAAAAATGAGAGGAAAAAGAGAAATAGAGTGTGACAAAGAGGAAGAGATACAATGAAAGAAAAGGGAAAGAGATGATAGAGAGATGAGAGAAATAAGAAAAGAGGAAGTGGGACAAGCAAGGTAGAGAGGGAAGTGGGAGAGAGAGAGTAAAAGGAAAGAGAGACAAAATAACAGAAACAGACATAGGAAGGATGGAGAGAGAATAAGAGAGAGAGAATTAAAAGATAATGAGAGAACAAGAAGGGAATGAATGAGAGAGGAGGGATGGAGGGATGGAGAGAGAAAAGGAGAGAAAGAAAGTGAGGCTGACGGCCTGCTGTCTTCTCTGGTTCAGCCACTTACCTCTGTCTTTTTCCATGTATTGATTTTTCTGCTTTTACTCTTTTTCCCTCTTTCTCCTCCCAGCAGATCGAAGCCTGGTGACATGGGAGCGCTGGAGCAGCACGTGACGCTGAAACAGTTCACTGTGGGGCCTGAAGCCCAATCGGACCAGCGCTCCCTACATAGAGCACTACATAGGGCACTACATAGGGAACGACATAGAGCACTACTTAGGGAACTACATAGGGCACTACACAGAACACTACATAGGGAACTACATAGAGCACTACATAGGGAACTACATAGAGCACTACATAGGGAACTACATAGATAGATACATTACTCGTACAATCAAGGAGTTCAGTAGGCGTCATTTAGGATCCAGCTTGTGTCTCAAACTCCAGCTTCAGATACTAAATCAGGGGTGTCCAGACTTTTTTCATAGAGGTCAGGTCAAACTGTGTCAAAACACCTGAGGGCCGAAAAATTATTCACAATTAATTCAAAATATTTATGCATCATAATCAAATCGCTTATCGTCCTGAAGCCTATTCCAGCAGTCAGTGGGCGAAAGGCAGGAAACACCCTGGACAGTCCAGAGAACCTGTGGAGAGAAGTACCACTCTGTAATGTCTTTGGGGTTCTCAAACACTAGAGGGCGCTCCCGAGCAGTCCAAAATGAATGGGTTAATATGGAGCATTTGAGTAAAATCATGGTTTATAAATGTTTAAACATTTTTAATGTAAAATAAATGTATTCTTTTACATTACAAATGTTTAAATATTTAGAAACTACGATGATTTCCTCAACACAGAACAGCATAAAACATTAACACTGCTGTTATATTTTTAAGAGCTTTTAAATCAGCGCTCAGTAGCAGTAATGCCAACCAATCAGCGCTCAGTAGCAGTAATGCCAACCAATCAGCGCTCAGTAGCAGTAATGCCAACTAATCAGCTCTCAGTAGCAGTAATGCCAACCAATCAGCTCTCAGTAGCAGTAATGCTAACCAATCAGCTCTCAGTAGCAGTAATGCCAACTAATCAGCTCTCAGTAGCAGTAATGCTAACCAATCAGCTCTCAGTAGCAGTAATGCCAACTAATCAGCTCTCAGTAGCAGTAATGCTAACCAATCAGCTCTCAGTAGCAGTAATGCTAACCAATCAGCACTCAGTAGCAGTAATGCCAACTAATCAGCTCTCATTAGCAGTAATGCTAACCAATCAGTGCTCAGTAGCAGTAATGCCAACTAATCAGCTCTCAGTAGCAGTAATGCTAACCAATCAGCTCTCAGTAGCAGTAATGCTAACCAATCAGCTCTCAGTAGCAGTAATGCCAACTAATCAGCTCTCAGTAGCAGTAATGCTAACCAATCAGTGCTCAGTAGCAGTAATGCTGATTAATCAGCACTCAGTAGCAGTAATGCTAACCATTCAGCACTCACTAGCAGTAAAGCTAACCAATCAGCACTCAGTAGCAGTAATGCTGATTAATCAGCACTCAGTAGCAGTAATGCTAACCAATCAATGCTCAGTAGCAGTAATGCTGATTAATCAGCACTCAGTAGCAGTAATGCTAACCAATCAGCACTCAGTAGCAGTAATGCTGATTAATCAGCACTCAGTAGCAGTAATGCTAACCAATCAGCACTCAGTAGCAGTAATGTTAGCGTCCTGCTGCCAAAACCCGTTTGCTGTAGAAAAAAGGAAAAAAACAGGTGAGTTTTCTTTTCTTTTTCAGTGAAATTCATCCTCATACTGTCTAAAATTAAAGAAAGTTCTGGGCGAGTGATTAGAAACTACTTTAACTTTTCGTTTTTAGCCATTTATCTCCATTAACTCCTGTTCATTGAGGACCCGCTCGTGGGCGCCCTCTGGTGTTTTGCAGTCATGTTTTGATGTAACGGGGGAAATAGGAAGAGGCCAGGGGGGTGTACTACGAAGCAGGTTTAACATATTCGGTATTTGCTCAAGAAAGCCGGCTTCGGAAAGCCTAACATTCCCCATCAGGCTTAATTGGTATCGCGACGGTGGATTTCAATCTAATCCATGAAGCTAAATAAAGTCAGGTTTTCTCAATCTAGTTAAGTGGGCGGTACACAATATGAGAAGCTGTGGTGCGTTCAATCGCCTGAACGTGCAGCCTAATGGAGAAAAGCAGAGCCACTTACTTACACTTACACTTAAAGGTTATGAGTTTTTGGCGAAAAGTAATACAGTCTCTGCTGCAAAGGCTCGTGAGGACGCATGGCAAAAGACAGCAGACTGTGTCAATGCGTAAGCTCCGCATACATCATCAGTAAAACGTTAATCGTGCAGTCCTAATACATTTTCCAGAACAAATTAGGATTCTGCATGAAGAGGCACAACTGTTGCTATGCAAGGTGTTGTATTAAACAAAGCCTACGAATCATTATAAACTTACAGGTGCAATCCAAACAACCCAAAGCGGTCTTGGCAGCAGGTTAAAGTAAAATACAAGAACATTGTCCAAAGTGGTAAGTGTAACTGTACGCATCATGATTGATTGTATATGCCCTTTTGCCTATGTTAAAGATTTTCTTCATGGCTTTTATTAAAAGTTACTCACACTTCTCTTAGCCAACCGCCAGAAAAGCCAATGCATAAAAACAGGAGGGGGCTCCCCCACCTCCTTATACAACAGCTGAGGAGCTGGCTTTGGAGGCGAACCGTGGAAGGCCTATTATGGATGGGATCGCTGGGGGCACCCCTCAAACCCTGGGAGTAGCAGAGATTAGACCCCTTTTGTTAAAGGTATGAACAAAATCTGAGTATGTAGCTTGGCAGATGTCTGTATGACTACTTATTGTGATGCAGACTTTATTGTTACAGTACAAAATGATTCCCTGACTTTGAGGGCCCAGCCTGCTCCAATAGGTGGAGCTTCTCAAGCAGAGGTATGTGTGGTTGTAGACACTATATATTGAAAAACATTCATATTAATGTAAACCTATTTTCATAGATGGATGCCACAGGAGATGAGGAAGCCATATCTGCCTGCTCAGAAAGGCCTGTAGAGGTGAGTGACCTTTGTCATGTATGGCTAAAATAACTTGCCAATTTATGTATGCTTGCATATTTCACCTACAAGGATGTGCTGGAATTCCAACAATATTCAGAGTCTCCTACGTGTCAGCAACCATAGCATGTTTGTCATCTGTAAGTGAATATAATCTTGTGTAGGATAACATTTCTGTACCCCCTCACCCTGAGCCTGCAGCGTCTACCTCAAGGCCAAGCAGAGGAACTTCTGAGGTGCATATGTAAAGTCTTTAACTGTCCATTGCCCAGAAACCCTCAGCAGACACAGTCCGAAGCCTTTACCAAAGGACACTTGAACTCGATATTGAGTTGAAAACACTACAAATAAAAGAAATTAAGCTGGAAATAGAGGAACTTGAAAACAAGAAGGTAACATCGCACTATATTGCACTGCTCATTGTCTACATGTCATACTCATAGTTGTATTTTTATCTCCACAGAAACGACAAGACATGACAAGTCAATAAACTCATGACACTATTCTTGTACACCACTGGTCTTTATTTTAATGTCATCAAATAAAATGAACAGGAATGAAAAATCAGATACCAAAACTCATCTCTATCCTGGCCCTGGTTTTCGAGTGCCACATTAAAGCGGGTCTCCGGACCAGGATGTGGTTCAGGGTATGGTGTCAAGTGACGAAGGCAGTCTCCAATCAGCAAACCACTGATGTGTGCTGTGATGCAGATGTGCAGCAAAGTAATGTGAGAATGTGAAATGCTACATTTAATTGTAAGCATCAAAATGATTGGGTCTCTTACGTACCTTGATCCAGTTTCTGGTACAGTGTGGACTCCCTGAAGATCTGAGAATCGTGTACTGAACCAGGCCATTTAGCATCAATACTTATTATCAGGCACTGATGATCACAAGTCATCTGAAATAGATGTGTTCAGAACATCAAATATAGTTATGGACAATAATAGTGTTATGGCAGTAAATAATGTAATGAAATCAATTATCTAGGCCCATGTAGTTTCATTACTAACTGCACTAACAGTTTTTAACTTTGTACCTGTGGAAAGACTTTCGGATAGTCAGCCTCATGCTCTCCCAAGGCTGTCGTTATGGGAATGTGGGTGCAATCAATGACACCGATTACTCTGGGGAATCCTAGGAAAAAGACCCGAACATTATCTACAGCTACTGACAGTGTATTACTCAAAGATGAGCACAGCGGGAAAAACTACCTGCAATCTGATAAAAACCTTCCTTTATATTTTGCACAGGGCAAGTGGCCTGGAAACACTTCAAA